TGTAGACACTATGCATGGACACATTTGTAGACACTATGCATGGACACATTTGTATACACTAGGCATAGACACATTTGTATACACTAGGCATAGACACATTTGTAGACAATATGCATGGACACATTTGTACTTACTTCTTCAATATAGTATTATAAATAGTAGCCATAATAGTATAAAGATGACCATGATTAAAATAAGTATGTAAGTATAGTGTATGGTATGTAAATACCTGTCATGATACTAAGGTGTAGGTCATTTACATACCTGTCATGTTATTAAGGTGCATGTTATGTACGACCTGTCATGTTATTAAGGTGCATGTTATGTACGACCTGTCATGTTATTAAGGTGCATGTTATGTACATACCTGTCATGTTATTAAGATGCATGTTATGTACGACCTGTCATGTTTGTAAAGTGTATGTTATGTACATACCTGTCATGTTAGTAAGGTGTATGTTATGTATGACCTGTCATGTTTGTAAAGTGTATGTTATGTACATACCTGTCATGTTATTAAGGTGCATGTTATGTACATACCTTTCATGTTATTAAGATGCATGTTATGTATGACCTGTCATGTTTGTAAAGTGTATGTTATGTACATACCTGTCATGTTAGTAAAGTGTATGTTATGTACATACCTGTCATGTTAGTAAGGTGCATGTTATGTACATGCCTGTCATGTTAGTAAAGTGTGTGTTATGTACATACCTTTCATGTTAGTAATGTGTACATTATGCACATACCTGTCATGATAGTAAGGTGCCTGCACTGTAACACGATGTTCTCCCAATGTAAATGCTGGTGTGCGGTGTATAATATATCTTAATGGTTTACATTCTTTGCAGACGGGGTGGTCCTTTTCAGATGTCAGCTGCACTGCATCAATACTAACATACTGATTCGTTACATGTATGCGCACTTTTTCAATAACCCTTCTACCAACAAATAACTGTGTTGTGTATGGCATATCACAATATGCAGTAATTGCGCCAAGAGATTGTTCAGTGCCATCTTTAAATACAAGTACAACATCTTTTATTCCATCAGATGGATTCCAAGCTACCCATATTGACAGTTGTATTGGAACTATGTTGGTCTCAAAACCTAATTCAATATAGCAGTTTTCACAGTCAATATCCTTGGGCATCCAGGCTTTGCCACTTACATCGCAGTGCTCTGCATCTGGTGGGCCTGTGGAATAAACAATGATAATGATAATGATTATGTCCAACATCAGTATTTGTCTCATGTGTCGAGCATAGAATATTGAACAGTTCACACACACACCCTGTGGTTTACCCCCATAGTTGAACTATACGGTTGTGTACCACTGTTTTGCCCCCATAGGAAACAGATTGTTCAAAGCACTGAAGCATCTAATTTTGATTCTCAATATCATTGGTTGACAAATAAAACAATGTATCTGATTGGTTAACTTGATTCTTTTTATCATTGTCAACAAAACAAAGTATCTGATTGTTCTAGCTATTTATATCACATACCTGTTGCTTGGGATGTGTCCCCAAAAGACCATGAAGGGTTAGGAGAATATGCTGTTTTAGCATACTGGATCAATGTGTTGTCATGGGAACACTCATTACATTCATTGCCTGGTCCACCAAGATTGAGACTTAGTGATGGCACCCAGGCCATACTAATAGAGCCCTCTCCTTTAGAGATAATTTTCGGTGGTAATGGCACCATTGAGGGCGTTTTACTGTCTTGCCAAGGCTTGTATATCAAATCAATGTAGCAGTGCATACGGGCACGTTGTTGAGGTGTGAAATTATCAATGCAAGCGTTGTCTGTGAACAGAGAGGTTTTGTTGAAAAGAAAATTAGAAAATAAATCCATCATATGACCTAATGATAGAATTGATTACATCATCATATTTACCTGCATATCCCATGTAATTTCTAAATGGGGTGTTGATATAGTCAATCTGTATTCCACATTTATCAAACTCATTGGGTTTGGGATCCCTGCAATGCTGATTCAAAGGAGTTGGATATGTATCAGCAATAAGATCTCCGAGTTCTAGCGATGGGTAAATTTCTAAACATTCATCAGTGCATCCCATTTCTGATATTCCATGGTGAGTGTGCCATAAACCTAACACGTGACCCAACTCATGAACCATTGACTTGGTATATGCCGGTTTACCATAGTGATCGGGTTGTAGGATTATGCCACCTGTAAAACAACAAGTAATTCATTAATAATAATAATCTCAATCAAGGTTGTTTAAATTTACTACAATACTATGTCACCACATGCAATGAGTCACAAGACACACCATATATCACCACATGCAATGAGTCACAAGACACACCATATATCACCACATGCAATGAGTCACAGGACAGAACATATATCACCACATGCAATGAGTCAACCTACCAAGAATATCATACACCTCTTTTTCCCAAGGAAATGTTGCAATTCCTTGCAAGTTGCGATTCGTCCACTGAGCAAAGTAAATGCTCAAATACTCGCTATTATCAAAACCAAGAAGTGTCTTGTATTCATCAACGTCCAAATACACCCTGAAATGCAAGAAAGAAGTGGACAATGTAAACCTGATGTGTATCTTGTTTTACACAATGTAAACAAGGTGTATATTATGATTTATACAATGTAAACAAGGTGTATATTATGATTTATACAATTTAAACAAGGTGTATATTGTGTTTTATACAATGTAAACAAGGTGTATATTATGATTTATACAATGTAAACAAGGTGTATATTGTGTTTTATACAATGTAAACAAGGTGTATATTATGATTTATACAATTTAAACAAGGTGTATATTATGATTTATACAATGTAAACAAGGTGTATATTGTGTTTTATACAATGTAAACAAGGTGTATATTATGATTTATACAATTTAAACAAGGTGTATATTATGATTTATACAATTTAAACAAGGTGTATATTGTGTTTTATACAATGTAAACAAGGTGTATATTATGATTTATACAATTTAAACAAGGTGTATATTATGATTTATACAATGTGAACAAGGTGTATATTATGATTTATACAATTTAAACAAGGTGTATATTATGATTCATACAATTTAAACAAGGTGTATATTATATTTTATACAATTTAAACAAGGTGTATATTATGATTTATACAATTTAAACAAGGTGTATATTATGATTTATACAATTTAAACAAGGTGTATATTATGATTTATACAATGTAAACAAGGTGTATATTGTGTTTATACCAATGTAAACAAGGTGTATATTGTGTTTTATACTATGTGAACAAGGTGTATATTATGATTTATACCAATGTAAACAAGGTGTATATTGTGTTTATACCAATGTAAACAAGGTGTATATTGTGTTTTATACTATGTGAACAAGGTGTATATTATAATAAATACCAATGTAAACAAGTTCTATATTGTTTTTATACATTGTCAACATGACGTGTATTGTGATTTATACAATGTAAACAAGGTGTGTATTGTGATTTACACAATGTAAACAAGGTGTATATTGCATTTATAGAATGTAGCCTGGCGAAATATATGTTATGAATATGGCACATGTAAAACATTTTAATAAAGATTTGTAAAAAAAAAAATGGTAAGATTATCCATTTAACGTTTACATCGGTACAAAATGCTGCCATGGTTGCATCAGTAAGTTATCAAACAAACTCACCTGTTTGAAGACCTTGGATCATAACACTGCGTGGCTTCACCTGGGTTGCCAAGACAACAGTCTCCACCATCCCAGTTGTGATATGCGTTGTTACAGTCGCTGTCACACTTTCCATTAGATTGCTTAGACGCCTCACACTTTCCTTTCAGGCTCTCTTCGTCACAATCTCCGCCATCATTGCCTGTACGTTCGTGGCGACATTCATCGTCACACACGCCATTTCCAACGTTGCTTATGTCGCATCCATATGTGATTGCACGGCGCCGTAATGCAGTGTTGGTGACATTAACTATTGTTAGCTCCCATGATATGTTATACTTATTAAATGCAACATTAATCGCACGATGTTGATAATGTATTTGTTCTTGGCTGACAGTCGGGTTAGTTTGGTCATCTTCATACACGTTAATTACACGATAGCGAAGCGTCTTCGGTTTTCTTAGCGACCAGTTTTCGGTATAACTTATTGTAACATCCGGGTCATCACATACAGTTTCGCTGCATGCATTTGTCTTGAGAGTGACGTCATGGAAGTCAGAGGGCATATCTGAATTAATAATCCTGGGTTCAGAGTCAACTACAACATCCCAGTCGTTCATGTCAGAGAAATCTTCGTAAACGTCTAATTTACTGAGGTTTTCCTTACGACGTGAAATGCTGTAAATACTGTCCTTAATTTCTACATGTGACCTTGCTTCTGACCATAAGATTACTTCATCTATTACACCACGATAAAAAGTTCCCGTCAGAGGATTTCCACCGATGTCGAGTTCTTTACATTGACTTGACGACCTGCTAAAAATATCACCTCTCTGATTTGAACTTGTTGCTACCTTAGCCCCATTAATATATAATACCATAGTTGTACCGTCGTAGCTGGCGGCCACGTGTACCCAATGATTTGGTTCGTATTGGTTGTGAGCTGTAATGATAGTGGCATCTCTAGACCGATCCGATCGAAGGGAGAAATACAACTTTGCATTCTGCTCGGAATCTTTATCGTTTGAATGTATGCCGATAGACCAGCCTCTATCAGTAATGGACATACCACATGCATCGTGTAGACCTATAGAGACGTATTAAAACATAGTGGATACATTGGGAGTGTATTAGTACTAACATTTCTTTTACCAGAGGGGTAACAGTGTAGAAACAATGTATAACAATGAAATAAAGTAAATAACGAGTGAAACTAAATTGAAATTGAGATATATACAACGTTTCAGCGAAATAGTGTCTTTGGTCTGATTGTATTAGGAGTTAGTGAGGGGAAGCGTAGTAAAATGATTAATGAAACATTACATCTATTCTCCTCCCATCTTTTGCGTTCTACAAGTTTTAGTCAAACGTGATACATTATTAACATTTTTTATTAAAATTAATAACAATAAAGAATAAAATGTTTTATAATTTGGCAGTGTATAACTCTATCTATGCTTTCAATTAATTGTACGATACCTCTCACGAATCGAAATTATAGACCAGTGTTGTGTTCCTTTCAATAAGGGAGATCAGAACTCGTGGTATGACGTACATTTAAATTAGTAAGACCACAGTAATGATTACTTTGAATGGTACGAATTATATCAGTCAGACCGCATAGCTGCAGGTCATTTGCGCCAACAGACGAGTTTTTATTAAATTTTTGTTTGAAGCAATTCTTCTCACTTAGAGACTCAACTTTGGTCGTCAACAGCTTTGATGTTTTCCCAATGGCGACTGATCACTTGATTGTATACGAGTACGGCTCAATGCGTATGACTGTGGTGACTTCGAACAAAGGACTGGTCCACCGCGACATGCATTTTAACATTTTGCCAATTAATTAAAATAAACCAGAAAAAGGAACCCCGTTTTATGTAAATGCCGGTAACTCTGTAAGCATTGAAGAGTGAGTCGGGTTTAATCAAACGTGTAATCCCATTGTGTTCTATATTATTTCTACTACAATAAGATTGGTTCAGAACTGCAGAGAAAAGCGTGCACCGTCGAAAATTGACAAAAGAATAACCACAATCTGATCAACTTTATTCATGTCTATATACCGCAGACAGCGGAATCAAAGTTTCAAACATATCGCAGGTGTGTTTGATTTCAGGGTGGTCTTAACTCACATTATAGAACACTGTTGTAGCGGTATTTGCCTCAGTCGACTGTGCCTGTAACTGTGTCTTTGTCATGATATATTCTACCACAAAATACATCAGTCGGACCAGACAAATGTATCACAAATATAGTTACGTATGTACGCTATAATGCACTGGTAGTGAGGTTGCACTGACCCCATTTTCACAGAAAGCGAAGGCACTATCAGCCCGGAGCAGTTGATACATAGCTGGGTAGGGAGGTGTCCCTGAGTGCTCAAAAGCGTGACCATTTCTATACCTGGATAGTGGTAAAATCTATACCCATATTCATACCAAAGTATCATTTCTGTCATCACAGTTTATTCCAAATAAAACAGTTACCGTATTTGCTCTATTAGAAGAGCATCTCCAATAGAAGCACATGTAAACAGTTGAATTGTATATTGATTTATTAAAATATGTATTTTGACCATAGAAACACCTTTGTCACTTACATAAGAGCATATTATTAACACAATGTTCAGGTTATTTATATCAAATCGTATATTATTACCGATATTAATACCTATCTCGACCAGAAATAAGACCAATACTTAGACCTAAAATGCAAAAAACGAGACCCATTTCAGGGGCACGTCCACATTAGGCAATTTCTATGTATTGCCCCCCTCCCTCGGTATTATCAGGAAGTGTTACCTATTAACGGTTTATAATAACTTGATCAGAATCTTTGTTAAAGGGGCGATATCATTGAAAAGATCGGTATCATGCTTGAGTAAGGATATGTGAAAGATGTACAAAGAAGAGGATATAGATGTCTATCTATTAGTCATCGCTTATTCTCTAATTTGACAGCCAATGTGTTCCACAGAATTATTTACTGCAATATACGTGAAAGGTCAAGCTACGTATAAAGACGCCTGCATCCTGTTTATTTTATCAGCAAATTCCTCTTCACATTTTTGATGTAAGACTTGTTTTATTGTTGCCTAATTTACGTAAATGATCGATGATAATGCTGATGTCATACTTCAAACAGGCTGCATATTAATAAAAACACGCGATTTGAGAGTTCGCGTAATTGGTTGGTAATGGGACAAGCATCTGATTTCTTGAACTTGGTGAAGAAAATGGGTGTACATTTCGAAGTTTGCATGCTCACGAAAACCAAAAAAAGATACTTTTTAAAACAAAAAAGTGTTTTGGCAGTAGAAGACTTTGTTGCTTTCGAAGTTCCGCCTGGACCAAACACATCAAATGCACAAAGGCGTTTGAAGAGAGCGAGAAGACAGCGTGGGCGTATTTTCGAATTCTGAACTAAATTAGCTTATTTAAAAAAATAAAGTCAGTGTTTCCTCTACAATAAGAGTTTTTTTTAATGGGAGTTAAGTTTTATTTAAAAATCAGTAGAATTTTTTTTTTCAGAACACTCATATGTCGTACCTATACCAGCCAGGTGCCGTGCGGTTTGCGCATCATATTTGGTGCATTAGACTTTTACGGTAGGCGAATCCCTGAATGCACCTTACAAATGATTCGTTATGTTTGTTACATAAGAACCACGATGCATATACCCCTGCTCAGTGTATTATTACTACAAAATGCGACTTATCTGTTGTCCAACAGTTTCTTTGGATTTGAAACGAGAACATTAGCACGCAGACTACACGAAGCGTGAAAGTGGTTTACTGATTCGCGCCCTGGGCACACAGAATAAGATCTCATAATGGTAACAATGGGCAATTAAAACTACCTGATCATCGTCATTTTATTTTAACCTACTTTTCAGTTTCTGTATTGTTCAATTAATTATGTGTTAATGTCGCAGTAGTTTTGCGTAGTTTGTTTAATTTCTCGCTTGAACTGAGAGAGACAAATTAATATCGGCGAGAATATGATGTGGAAATAACGTGTCAGCATAGAGTTAACAATGTTAACAGGAGTGTTGAATACAATCACAGTCCGTAGAAAATACTAGGGTTTAGTTGATAGTATTATGTCTGAACAATGAAATAAAAAAAATATTTTCCCCTTTCAGGAAGCCTAGCAAACGTCAATACTTTGTTGTTGTTTTTTTATATATCATGATTATTAAAACAAATTCAAGCCATAACTCACCAACAATAGTTGTCGTTTTATTTCGCTGTCCACCTTCTGGTTTCAACCAAGCTTCGATAGCGAACGCCTCGCGGGGCAGGTTGTGATTGGCATTCTTCGGCAGTTTGTATCGAATCACTTCGGCATCCCCTGAGAAATACGCGGCCTTACCGAAGAAGTACTTTTTGGAATCTGGTAACGCCCTTGGAAATCGTCGATGGTGATGCAATCGTGTCTTCTCACTTTTCGTACATTGTTCATTTGCCAATTCCCTGTGCCGTTTAGTTTTTATTTCATGGTGGTATATCTTTTCAAGGTGGTCGCTTGTTCTTGTCCCGTCACAATTTTCGCTAACTGCCACGAGGATGAGAGTTATAGACACAATGGAAATGAACGCATGCATCATGTTGGCTTCGTCACAGATAACGTGAATGTGGTAACTTTTGACGAGTAACGAGCTTATATCCCCTCACTGACGTCCCATTGACAGTTTGCATGAACGAAGTGGGATGGACACTTTTACACGAATCGTCACGCGGAATGCTCGTGTTCACTTTTGTTGACACCAGGAATGCATCCGTAATCGGAAGATTACCGCCGACAAACGAAGGTAGACTGCCGACACTTTCTTTATGTTGGCATGCCTAAGACATTGTATTGTAACACACATACAATAGTTATTTCAATCATATGCCTTAGAAATACATAAGGTCCATGTCTCAATAAGCAATGTGTATTTTATGTGGCCGACTACAGACAGTCAATATTATCCATGTAGGCTCGTGCAAGTCTTTTTACGTTATTCTATTTACCTCACTGTATGTTGAATTCTTGGTGTAGTGGTATAGCCTGTATTAAGTGTGTATTCCTATGTACAACGGTGGTATGCTTTGATCTCAACTCAAGCGATATTTAGCCAAGTGATGAATACATTTGTCGTATTGCAGGATGAAATAAACACAACGCCGGGCTCGATTTGTCACCGAGCAACGGGTAATTGTAATCACTGTCGATTTCAATGGACTTAGACTGTTCATTTTATGTGAAAGATATCTGTGTTTAGTGTAAACAAGTGAAACACAACATGTGTTAATTGCAGCTGTCGACTCATTTTTGACGGCTGTCCGAAATCCGAAATACATTGACGAATACATTGAGTTGCCAACTAATGAAGAATTGTTGAGGCGATCGCTCTGGACCAATACAAATACGAGTGAACAATCACAGAAAATCACAGAATATAATTTAGCATGTTTTGGCGCATTTAACTCGAATCGGCGAGGGAGGGTGTGAATTGGATTCAATGGTTGACTTTCAGTCTGAAGTATAACTTAAGCAAGAGTACGTGTTGACAATGACGTCATGTCCGATGAGGAATACATACAATAACTTCCGCTCGTGTGCTGTTTTTGTGCACGACGTCAAAGGACCATTTCGTCGAAAGTTGAATATAACGTTATTTGAGTATCCAAAAATCCCACAATGTGACACAAATTGAGGTTCAATGCAATACTACTTGCAGTGTGATTGGCTAACCAGCCCTAACATCGAAGAGTCAGACCAACCAGTGTGAAGCTTGTTTGTTGACATGTTTTTCGACAGTGTGATTGGCTAACCAGCCCTAACATCGAAGAGTCAGACCAATCAGAGTGAAGCTTGTTTGTTGACATGTTTTTCGACAGTGTGATTGGCTAACCAGCCCTAACATCGAAGACTCGGACCAATCAGAGTGAAGCTTATTTGTTAACAGGTTTTTTGACAGTGTGATTGGCTAACCAGCCCTAACACCTAATAGTCAGACCAATCAGAGCGAAGCTTGTTTGTTGACAGGTTTTTTGACAGTGTGATTGGCTAACCAGCCCTAACACCTAATAGTCAGACCAATCAGAGCGAAGCTTGTTTGTTGACAGGTTTTTCGACAGTGTGATTGGCTAACCAGCCCTAACATCGAACAGTCAGACCAATCAGAGAGAAGCTTGTTTGTTAACAGGTTTTTTGACAGTGTGATTGGCTAACCAGCCCTAACACCTAATAGTCAGACCAATCAGAGCGAAGCTTGTTTGTTGACAGGTTTTTCGACAGTGTGATTGGCTAACCAGCCCTAACATCGAACAGTCAGACCAATCAGAGAGAAGCTTGTTTGTTAACAGGTTTTTCGACAGTGTGATTGGCTAACCAGCCCTAACATCGAACAGTCAGACCAATCAGAGAGAAGCTTGTTTGTTAACAGGTTTTTCGACAGTGTGATTGGCTAACCAGCCCTAACATCGAACAGTCAGACCAATCAGCGTGAAGCTTGTTTATTAACGGGTTTTTCGACAGTGTGATTGGCTACCCATCCCTAACACTGAAGAGTCAGACCAATCAGAGAGAAGCTTGTTTGTTAACAGGTTTTTCGACAGTGTGATTGGCTAACCAGCCCTAACACCGAAAAGTCTTCGCTATTATCAACTATTCATTCCTGAATTAAATTAAATTATCAAACCATTGAGATGAATTAGTTATCTTATCTTAAATTTATTGATGGTTTGGAAAAACAGAGTAGTTTTTTATCTAAAAGATTTTTGTTTGTTTTGTTTTTTTGTTCGGGTAAATAAAAAAATGCTTTACTATGTCGAAAAATATATTACAAACTATTCGATGATGAATATGTTTGTGTGGGTATATATGTACTTCATCAACATACCAAAAGTTCAAAGGTGCATTGATTGAGATTAGTATGGAATACATACATTCAAAGTCAACGACCTTTATTTCAGAAAGCAAATTAGAAAAACAGCTCTTAACGTCATACAACAACATGTTATGTTTAACATGTGAGTGTATTTTACTTCTAGATTAGAAGGTTCTGACCCCCTAGATCGGCTACTGTGATTGGGGCTTTGCTCTCGTCATACTAGCTAACCTCTGTAAAAAAATAACTGGTGGGCTTCCAGATCAGCTAGGCAATCAACATAAAGTTAAAGGAGCAATATTGTCGCAAAGTCATGCCACGTTTACAAGACACCCAATTCTATCGAGTTAGCAGGCTTCTGAAATGAGTTATCAATAATAAACTAAATTTAACGAACCCACCTTAATTCTAACGGTCGTAGCTGTATGCTACATTGTTGTGAAAAACATTCTTTTGTGCGTATTTGGCAAACAGCTGTTAAAGAATCCGGTGTTTTTATTAGCAAATATTCTCTAATTTGTCATTTCAGTCTATAACAACTAAATCATTGGGTTTATGATAAATCGCGAATATGCGGCCTTTCTGGCCTGGCTCGATTTATAAATACCGAGGCCGCATACGGGGTGCTTTAAAAATATCGTTCCTTTTGCTGAGTACATTTAGTCGACGATCTTTGTTACACCATGGGCATAAAATACACAGTTTTCATTTACGATTTAAAAGTTTTCAGACGTGAAAAAGAACACATAATCTACTGGAGGGTCTATGAGTAAACATTGAACTTGAATTATGCCATAGAGATAAAAACGAAATTAGCTCCATTTATTTATGTGTAAACTCGATTTATCCTATAAACCAATGGACACTCGTTGAATTTCCTATACATAGCCCTGCTATGCTGTCAAGCTGTTTGTTCTTTTCCAATAAAAACAAACAAACTAACTATAATGCTGTTACCTTTTCCATGAATTCCCCTTGCGTCACCAGCCTTTCCTATTTAGTTACATAGTATTAACCTTATCAATTAACATTATTGGCGGATAAAACCTGTCAATGATCGAAATTCACGTGTTAAACTAGTTGAATATGACAATGTTGCAATTCAACGTTTTGCCGAATTACGTTTTTGGTAAAAATATATAAACATGATTTGCAAAAAATATATATTCATAATTGCATGCTAATAATTGTAAATAGATGCTCGAGTAATCAGTTTCATGTTGGTCTGGCAGCATAACTTAGTATTCTATGGATTAGCCTTCAAATCATATTATACGGAAGATTACGTAAATCTGCCATTCTCGTTTGTCTATAACCAAGGTAAGTTTCCGTAAAGATATAAATGTAGCATGGGCTCCTTGGAGTTGGAATGTAGTGTGAGCTTCCTGCACGTTTGGGTCAAACCTTTAAGTCGAAGAAAAGAATTTACCAGTCACTCGCGGTGCCGTTAACACACGATACGAGAAGGAGTATTGCGCCCTCAAACAATATGAGTAAATACTTCTGTGAGGGGTTCCGAATTCACTTACACCAGGAACGCGTGTGCATTATCAGGTCATTTTCCTTTTCGTGATTTGAGTTTTTGAAATTATAGTTACGTGTATGTTTGTTCGTTTCACTTGTCTAAGCGACAATAAGAATAAGGAAGACGTCTTTTGAACAGTCATCAACAGTTCGGCAAATACATAGTATGCATTCCAACTCAACTCAAGCATGGAAGGTACTAATAACGGAAGGAGCCACGAAGCTATTGTTTTAGCTTCACCCTATGATCGTTTGTCAATGTTTGTTCACAAACATTGTCTTGTTAGCTTTTAGCATCTTGGTACAATGGGTTACGCTAATCTCGAGCATTCGGTAATATTCGGAGGATGTTCGGAAGCGATATAGTCCAGTCAATATGTGACATGACCTACAACAAATTGCAATAAAAATGAGACCAAGTGCGTTGTATAGCATTTTTCATG